TTCGTGGAAAGTCGTCGCCGGGCATTGGAAAGATGCCTGAATAAAATCACCTCGCATCCGAAGTTGTACAATGACCCTAATTTGAAGATGTTCTTGGAGTCAGATCGATTCGTTATCGACGTAAAAGAGGATTCCATTCGCTTACTTGACTAATTAATTCTGCCTCAGAACAAAAACTAACAAATAAATTATTTGACTACAGGTCAAACGAAAAAATAAAGATGAATCCAAAGGAGTGTTAAAATCATTAGGCGAGGTTGTTTCCCACGCCACGACTTTTAATAAGTTCATAGAGACAGATGAAGTAAGATTTATTACATCAAATTGAGTATCATACATTTGACAATAATTCTGCAATCGAATGATGATATTTATTGATATAGTGGTTTGATAATCATAAAAACCAACTGGAAATCCTGGACTCTCAATTGAAAACATTGATGAAATCTGTCGAGGCCGTCGTTAGACAACGCAAAGGTATGTGCCCCGTTTTCTCTTGAATTCTCATCTTTTCATTACCTCATATTAACATAAATCCTTTTTGTTCTGTTCGAAAAAAAGATTTAAGTGGCGCTACCACTGAGTTTGGCGATAATGTATTATCCATGGCTGGTGCAGAAAATAATAAATCTCTGGCACATAATTTAACGATACTAGGAAATATACAGAAAAAAATAAAAGAGCTGCACGAGAAGCAGGTCTGGATTTTTCTTTTGACACGTTTGTGGATCACGAGGATAATTGGTTAATGATAAATTAATATGCACATTTTTTCATTAGGTAAAACACGACGTTGCGACACTGGAAAATACCATTGATGATTATATTCGGTTAATCGGATCAATTAAAGTTGGTGAACAAGCGTTATTATCTCGCTTTTAGATACGCGCGCTGAACGCGATGTCAATTTTTATAGGTTGCGTTCAATTCACGCGAAAAAGTTTATCAGACCTGGCAAAATGCCGTTTCTGATTTGCAGAAGAAGAAGATTAATTACGAAAGGTCAAAAAATCAAGGCAGAATGGCACAGGACAAGTTATCGTTGGCGTTAGCACAGATCGCAGAGGTAATTATTCTTGTATTGAAAATTTGGCTAACTCACGGGAACTTACATACTTACTGCATAACCACGGATTCAGTCTGAAAACCGTGTGGAAGAGTGCAAGGACGATTTTGAAAACGTCTCAAAACTTATCAAATCTGAAATTGATCGTTTTGACAAGGAAAAAGTGGAAGACTTCAAAAACAGCGTTGAGGCGTTCTTGGAATCACTGATGGAAACGCAGAAAGAGGTAACTTGTCATTCACACTTATGACAAAATGATTTGATGGCTGGACTAGGTTTTATTCATTTATCGTTGTCATCTTTTTCTCTCAGATAATCAGCCTGTGGGAATCATACTTTCTGCAGGTGGATTCGCAACCGGATGTCGCCCCCGAAGATGAAGCTGTTACGGCATCCTAGATCATTTTTCATTAATCTCTTGTATTTAACTGTATAATTTGTAAATCAGCACCTCACTGACTGGTTGAGGAGTCTACATAAATTAAAAACTAGATCAGTTTCGACGTAGATCGAAAGCTAGAAATTTTCACTCGATATTATATAATTAAATTAGAATCACGTGAGCTTTTTTTTTTTTTTTACTAAATTGTCTAAATCTCATTCTCTTGTGTAACAAACATAGTAGTTTATTTGTTTGTTTATTGATTAAGTGTTGGTTTATATTATTTTATACCATGATTTTTTTTTTTTGGTTCTTTATTCTCTGGTTTGGAATTCCTAAGGCATGTAACCCGAAAAATTGGCTTTACTAATAGTATTAAAACTGACCAATCAAGTGTTGTGTGGTACCAATTCTATCATCACTTGTTCCATCAATGCTTTTTGACACTGTTGTGAAAGAAAAGTATTGACTTGAAAAATGAACACTTTTCCCCAGCTAATCTACCAACAAAACGGTTCTCCGAATGGTCAAGTATCCCCAAATCATTCACCCACCCGTTCACCCTCACCACCAATCGTATCTCCGGGTCAAACGTCACCGTCTCTCGGTTATCCTAACCATGGTGTTCCAACGATGTATGGCGGTGGTAACATGCCCTTGTACCCATTTCAACCGAAGTTACAAACGAAGATATTAACGCACGCGTTTAGTTCACACAATCTCCCTAACCAAACCTCGGGACCTCCTGGACAAGCATTAATGCCTCCGGCATCACTTGCCATAAATCAACAACAAATGAATGCTTTTTCCACGGATGTAACCAATCTGTCAATGGGCAACAGTCTGACCGGAATAAGTTCGACACACTGGCAACACCAGCTCAATTACGCACAGTTATCTCGTCAGTCAGCCTCCCCGCATCACCACGCCCGGCAAGCAGCAGTTGTAGCCCGGAATTGTAATCTTCTAAATGCGGCAATCGCGATAACGGATCCGAATAACCCAAATAAACCTCCACTGAATGGCGTGCAAACAAAAAAAGATGCAAATGGGGATAAGCAGGATCAGCCATTTCAGCAGTGGATGACAATTGATCTGGGTGGTATGGGCCTCAAGAACATTAGCAAAGAACTTTTCCAATATAATTTCCTCACCACCCTCTTCATAAATTATAATAATCTGACCTACATCTCACCGGAAATTTCCAAGCTAAGAAACCTTGTGATGTTGGATATATCTGGTAACAAGTTGTCTAATGTTCCACCTGAGATGGGTATGCTGACGAATTTAAGAGATCTATTGTTGTTCGACAACAACCTTGTGTCATTGCCATATGAGCTGGGCACGCTATATAAATTGGAGACTCTCGGAATAGAAGGAAACCCAATAAATGATTCAATTAAGAATTTGCTGCAAAAGGAGGGTACACCGGCAGTGATCTCATTTTTGCGGGATAATTGTCAAGGTACGCCAATACATATTAGCTGCGCTAAGCGAATCGTTTTTTTTTTTTTTTTTTTTAAAAAAAAAAAAAAATTACAACCCGCAAATTTGAGGATGATTGGCATTAACTAATTAACTGGCATTTTAGTACCTCCACGTCCAATGGAAAGGAGTTGGATAACGTTGGAGAACGAGCCCGCTAGTGGAGATCGTGGTATGTCGCCGGTAATCGGACATTGGCTGTACGCCAAAACAAAAGCATGGTGACCAAAGCAACAAGGGTATACCATATTCTATTCTGACTCCGGTGTTTATGGATTAATTTGTTTTCCTTTTCAGATACCTTTACCCTACTTTGCTACAATATCCTTTGCGAGAAGTACGCAACAACGCAATTGTATGGTTATACTCCCTCATGGGCTCTCTCATGGGATTACAGAAAAGATCGAATCATGAAAGAAGTGTTGTCCTACAATGCAGATATTCTGTGCCTTCAGGTAAACAAAAATTATCCACCAAAAATTTTTTCAACATGTTTCAAGATCATTCGTTTATTCAATTTATTATTTTTTTTTTACTTTACACAGGAAGTTAACACGTCTCAATATGAAGATTACTTCAAAGAAGCCTACGCCAAACTCGGAGATTACGAGAGTGTTTACTGGCCAAAATCACGCGCAAAGACAATGTCTGATTTGGAAAGAAAGTCGGTCGACGGATGTGCGACATTTTTCAAGGCAACAAAGTAGTCTTAGCATTATATTTTGTTGTGGCATTTAAGTGAGCAAATTGTTTTCGTAATAATTGAGATTCTTTCTCTTTTTAAATACAGATACCAGTTGATCGACAAACAGTTGATCGAATTTAATCAAGTTGCATTACAGAGATCAGACATCAAGAAAACCGAAGATATGTTCAATCGTGTTATTACCAAAGACAATATAGCGGTAGTGACATTGCTTGAGAACAAAGAGAATTTTTCACGTATTATCGTTGTTAACTGTCATATTCATTGGGATCCATCATATGCCGACGTTAAACTTGTTCAAGTTGCGATGTTGATGGATGAATTGGACAAGCTCGCCCAAAAATGGTGCACTTTACCCAACAAATCACTTTACAATTACAGTGAACCACAAAAAATATCAACCATCATCTGTGGTGATTTTAACTCGACCCCTGATTCGGGCGTCTACGAATTCCTCTCACGAGGCACCATAGGACAAGACCATAACGATTTCGGTGATCATATATATGGATCCTACACCTCGGAGGGATTGTCCCACAAACTATCACTAAAATCTTCTTATTCCAACATTGAGGAATTGCCTTTTACTCATTTCACGCCTTCATTCACCGGTGTTATTGATTACATTTGGTATTCTACAAACACATTGACTGTTACTGGCTTATTGGGTGGTGTAGACAGAGAATACTTGTCCAAAATGGTCGGATTCCCGAATGCACATTTTCCTTCCGAGTGAGTAATTTCAAAATTCATGATCAATAATAATCTTTGCTCTCTTCACCTGACTCAATTATCAAAACCTTTACTTGACAGTCACCTTTTAATCCTTTCCGAGTTCCGAGTTAAACCTCCACAAACGATACCACAACAACAACCGCCAAATTTCGTTGGTCTGGCGGGCGCGAGCAGCAGTGGCTCACAACGGAGATTTTCATCTCAACTGGGTTCTAAGAAGTAGTGTAAATTCGAGGAAATTTTATGAAAGTTTTGGACAATGCGTGAGTCGGTGTAATGATGGGTGAGATCAACTGTCCTGCGTGTGATTAATGACGGGTAGTACTGAAAAAAAAAAAAAAAAAGAAGAGTCCGGGACTATAATGCGTTATAGATCATTCTGCCATTTCAACTATATCCACCTTCAAGTGTCAACTTCTTTTCTGGCACTCATTCGCCTTATCTTAATTGTAGAATTTTCCACTTCAATTTTCGCACTTCAACATGTAAATAACACTTGTAATTGAATTTGATGGATAGGGATCTTATTTTTGGAATACCGGTGATTTTCTCGGCTCCTCTTTATTTTATTTCTCTCGCGATTAATTTTATTTTACTTGTAAGAATAAATCTTTCTTTTACTTCTTATCCATTAACTTTAACCATTTGAAAAACATCGATGGACATGATTTGCACGTAAGGGTTACCAAAAAAAAAAATTCATTATTCCTTTTACCAAGACCCATGTTAAGACACTTGCACACTTAACACTTGTTTCAAATAGAATAATGTATATATACATTGACGATAACGGTACTTATTTCAAATTGTTCGAAAACTTGATCGTCGAAGAGACATTCAGAATAGACACTATGCAATTTATCATTCGTCCTTTGTACCGTCAAGATTTGTTTGTGTTTCCGCCATCATCCTTTCTTTCTCCCTCTTCAACGTTTGATATTCGACTTCTTTCTTAATGATTTCGCCGCGTAGATTTATAATATTGATCATTCCTGAGAAACCTGTGGCGATTGAATGAGAGCAAGTATTGTAATTTTCTGGATAACCAAATAACATTTTCATTACTTTCATTCAATAAAACGGAATTGCGTGAGGTAACCTTGTTTGAAATGTCTCTGTGACTCCCTCAAAGATGATGGGACCAAGACTCCAAACCAATTTAATGGATCTCTTAACACGCGTTTCTTTGTGGGCTTATCGGTTACAATCTCTCCGGATTCTATCGCACGTCGACGCAACGGTGACGACGAATTATTGGAATCATTCGAAATCCCCTTACTGATCTCCAATTGTCCACTTGTTAATGTATATTGAAAATTTGTTGCACCTGAAGTATTATTCACGGAGCCACCTTCCTCCTGGGAAATCAATCTATTGTAACATAAAGAAATGGAAGAATGCTTTTTACCGGTCAACTAATTTATGACAAATGGTTGCATTCAACTAACACTCGAGTAAAAGCTTGCATTCTTCCATCATACTGATCTTGGGAGATCCTGCCGGGTCCCATTGTGTATTTGGCATGGGCCATTTGCAAGAAACCCTGAAGAGTTCAAACTCATAAGTTTTGACACTCGCCAACCGAATGGAAGGGTGGAGTAACTAGAAGGCAGCTACTTACGCCTTCCAGCTCCTTTCCAATTTTTTTCCATTCTTCTTGGAAGGTCGAAATCAGTCCAAGGTATTCCGTCAGAACGGTGTCCAGCTTTGCGCAAATTTCGTCCATGAACGAAGGTACATAAGAATCGGTCACCCTGCAAAGTTACTATCCTGTGTTGGTCGGATTTTTGCTGCGCATGTGACGTATCAAAAAGTTGCCTTTTTCAAAAAAAAATTTCAGTATCTTTTTTTTATCAATGAACCATTTCTTACGCGCAACACGAAAACACTTTTTTCGTGTGAGCGTTAATTTCTTGCATAGTCGAAGACGTTATTTTTCCACAGAAAGGGACCTGGCTTTGCCCACAAAAACGATTAAAAGTATATTGGAAAGTCTAGCAATCAACAATGAAGTTGAAGTACACGGTTGGATACGTTCCATTCGTACTCAGAAAAACGTGTCATTCGCTAACGTCAACGACGGTTCTAGTCTAAAGGGCTTGCAAGTTGTACTTACAAACGATGAAGCTAAAAAGTCTGCGGAAACAAGTATTAATGTGCCTCTTTTCAAATCAGGCCACATTTGTTCATTACTTTTATGTTGAAACAGGCTGACGACGGGAGCATGTGTAAAAATGCGAGGAATCCTAGCTAAGAGTCCGGGAGACGGACAAAGTAAGGAGTTGCAAGCACATTATGTTGAGATATTGGGAGAATGCGATTCCGTATGTGATTTTCCGAAGCGCGTTTAAAGAATGATATTATGCCGGATTTCAAGTTTGATTACAGGCACTTATTTCGTTTAGACCTACCCCTTACAAAAGAAATATCACTCGATGGAATTTCTTCGGGATAACTCACATTTGAGGCCACGGTCCAACACCTTTGGAGCCATTGTGAGGATCAGGAATACAGCGGTCTTGGGTTTTCAGAATTTTTTCCAGGTATGTTCTTCGGGTTGTACAACTTTTCCTTTACTTTTGACTGACAAAAGACATTGACGTTTAATAATTTCATAAGAAAAATGAATTTTTTCAAATTCACACGCCAATAATAACAAGTTCGGATTGCGAAGGTGGTGGAGAGGTGTTTAAAATATCTGCTAACAGACCAAAAGAGACAACGGAAAACTTTACGCGGAAGGAAGATTTTTTTGAAATGCCTGTATATTTGACTGTTTCGGGACAACTTCACGCCGAGATGCTAGCCTGCGCGATGTCGCGAGTTTTTACTTTCGGTCCAGTATTTCGTGCGGAGGGTTCTCTCACTTCGAGACACTTGGCAGAATTCTGGATGTTGGAAGCCGAAATTGCCTGTCTGTTCAAATTGGAAGAATTGTTATATTTCACCGAGAGGTGCATCAGAGAAACAACGAGATACATTTTGGATGGTTGCACACAAGACATAGAATTTTTTGACCAACGTATGAACAAGGAACTTATCGCTCGTTTAGAAAATACAACAAACAATCCATTCTCCTGTTTAAGTTATTCGGAAGCTATTGACATCCTTTCAAAGGCAAATCAAAAATTTGAACATACACCTAAGTACGGATGTTCTCTGTATAGTGAACACGAAAAGTATTTGGCAACTGATTATTGCCGTGGGCCAGTGTTTATTACAGATTACCCTCGAGAAATAAAACCATTTTACATGCGTGTCAACTCGGATGGTGAAACGGCAGCTTGTACTGATTTACTTGTGCCAGACATTGGAGAGTTGGTTGGCGGAAGCCTTAGAGAAGAACGTTATGATATACTAGAGCAAAATTTGAAAGAATCCAACATGATCCAAGAGAATTATCAGTGGTACTTGGATTTGCGAAAATACGGAACTGTCCCTCATGGCGGATTTGGAGTTGGATTCGAAAGATATTTACAATATTTGACTGGTGTGGAGAATATTCGTGACGTGATACCATTCCCTAGAGCTGCCTCTTATTGCAAGTATTAGAACCATGGTAATTCAAATTACGACACTTGAAATTAAGAAATTTCCTTTCCATTGATCAATTTCATTGGTACGACTTTGCATCTGGTTCTTATCCGATCTACTTCCAACCTACTACTTCCAACCTACTACATTTACGAATTCCAGTCTTCATTATACAAAGGTTAGATGTATTACTACAAATAAATTTAACTTTGATCGGTGTACATGTTTACAATAGATTAAGTTATTTTCCAAATGCAACCTGTCACATAACTTGCTTTAGATTCAACCGGTACCTTTGTGTGATACAAATAAAAATAAATCCAAATTTATCAGCACGCTAATATCTTGAGATATAATTCATAATTCATAGTGCTCATTTGATAAATAATATATTTTAAAAAATATTATTCTTCAATAATTTAAACAATAAAAATTCCTGTTATTATATTTTATATTCATATCTTCCTTAAATTCTTATTATTGATATAAATTAAGTTTCTGTTAATATGTTATTTGCTTTTTATATAATATTTAATATAATTTAGTTATGATAGATTCGGAATATTGGAAATAATTTTACAAAATAAAAACAAATAAATAAATCCTAATAAAATTAATTACTTACAGTATGTAAATTTCTTTGTTTCTTTTTTTTTTTTTAATCCCGCAATCAGGTTGGTGTTGTTTATTTATTTAATTATAAAGAACCATTACAAGTTGAGAATCCATGTAAAGTATAAATTTCCCTAACCCAATTCACCCGTCTTTAGCCAAAGTCTCTAGATACAATTTATGGGGTGATAATGTGTTCCTCTAGTGGATGGAATTAAGATTTCAGATTTCCAACAGGATCAAAACCTGCAGATCATCTCTGCAGTCATGACCATAAACCCAAATTGTGTCACCCCCTCTTGTAGTAACTACGCAAGAGGAAAAAAAAATAAAAAAGGAATTTTTAAGACAAAAGAAAAGAAAAAAAGCTATTGTCTATTCTAACTATCATTAAAGAGATTATCTCTGTAAACTTCAAAAATCCAAGCCTCTCATGATACCTCACTTCTCACCACCTGTGGCCAGTCAGATTGTTTAATTTCCATTGGAGTAGTTGATGTCCAAGAATGTTTAAGGGCACTTTCAGGAGAGTATTTCTTGAGACTTTACACTTGAAGACTTCTGATCAGAAAGAATGTTGGTTTTCTATTGTTGATTTCTCTCCCAAGCCATGTCTTCTGGAATTATTGCTTCATTTAACCAGTGGATAGTTTCAAGATTCCTTTCTCCAACCATTTTCGGAATAAATATCAATACTTCAACTTGTTACCAGATTGGGATAGGACCTAGACCTTGTTGCTACTTCCTGTCCTCAAGA